CGTTCATTTCAGAGTGTAACATTTTCCTGTAAATTGGTTAGCGTCCTTAATGTTGTCATTGGACCTTTATTTTTCTGACTTTGCAGCTCCGTTCCCTTCCCCCTCTCTCTCCACCCTAATGAAATCCATCGACTGAATGCACCACTGTCAGACGCGACTCTTAATATAATTTGCTACGTTGTTCGCTGTGTTCCGTGCAAGGTTGAAACTTGCAATGGCAGCTTGCTAGAAATTGAGCTGTCAACGAGATATGGTCGGATGTGCAGGGAAAAAGATGGATTGTTAAACAGATGGTCAAGATCTTACTACCAGTCTCCCCAAAACGTAATAGAGTGATATTGAGGAAGCAGACATTTCACTAGAATGAAACTGCAAAGACATGGCGCCATCGAGGTTTTTCTCGGGGAGGAATTTTTTTTCAGGTGGGACAAGGGATTCGTCAGCTGAGTACTGGAATGGTGAATTTTGAGCTTTTCAAAGCTTCTGGATGGTTTGGGTCTGCCTTCCTCTCTCTTATTCAAATTTCTTTCACTTTTTTTAATTTCCATTTTGGGGGACAAACGTCGCCCTGCCCCTCTCACGACATTAATGTGCAGAAATCGCGGCATTTCATTGACATTGTCTCTTCTTGAATCAACACGGTGTGGAACTGCTCTCCTTTCTTTCTAAAAAATAATCAAAAGTAAAGTGGTTGATTGTTATACACTGAGCATTGTTTTGGTTGCTGTTGCTGAATAAGATCCTAAGTTTCTCACCTAGTCCAAAATAATTTATCACTAGGGACAATTCAACCTTTACACATTTCCCTCCAATGAAATCAAATCTGCGGCCGCTAACAAATCAGAACAACGTGGTAATAAGTGATCTGAGAATGTTTGCAGAGCAGTATACCATTTGACTCTTGGAAGTTTGCACGGTCTATACATGCTGCCTGCAAACAGCAAACATATTTGGCAATTCAGTTGATTTACCCCGACTCCCCCATCTTGCGATCGAGATAGAGGAAGTGTATTTGCGCAGTTCAAATGTTGACACTTGTTAATCCGGATGGAGGCACACGTGTCAAAACTCTGGCTTTAAGGATGCAAGGGCTAACATGAGAAGTGGTCTCCTGAAAAGAATACGCAAACCAAACACAAGAGTGAAATGGGTTCCCAACATTTTTTGTCATCTCTGCATTTCGCCAAAGGCTACACAGTAGAGACGTAAGCCAAATTCTGCTATGAGGACAACCTCATTCACTGGTTTATCCAAAGTGTTACGACTGAGTTCGGATGCCCCGTTTTCAAAATAATGGTGTTCAGTCATGCATGACAGAGGGATACCATCAAGGTATCATTACAAAAAATACTGCTTCTACTTTTCGGAGATCTTTATACATTATAATATCTCATGGCTTGGGTATATCAACCACTTTCCCCAGGGTTTGGAGTTGGGTTTTTTTTGGACACCCTGCATAAGGGTTCTCTATGATGGCCCTTGAGGGACATCGCCAATCATCGTCATCGACGTCAATATTCGCGACCAAAGTTACGACTTGCTCTCTGGTCGGGAATATTTTCGTCAATATTTACGACCAAAATTCGCGAGTTTTTAAAACCCAACGTAGAGCGGAGTTGATACACTGGGGATCCAATTTTTTCTAATTACGTAATTAAATTTTTTTCCGGCCAAATGCAAATACCTCCTCTTAATTTGTGCCTCTGTAGATACTGAACAGCCTAGTTTAGTCACCTTTAACATGGGACTTCCCCTGACCGGAGTAATTCTTTTCCAGAACCTGCCTGCAGCCAAGTCCCATGGGGATTGTATGTAAATATCTAAGCCACGTGCTGATAAGGGTTATTGACAAACCAAGTGCCTGGGTTTTTTTTGTTTTTTGTTTTTTTTTGGTGCTCTTCACATCGGAAAGCGCCCTCTCGTGCACGCAAGGTGACAACAGGCATGTAAAATTAAGGAAGGTGCTCTCCTTTTCTTTTCCTCTCTGTGTGGAGCACATGTAAACGCATAGACCGCCAGGTCGCTTCCAAAACTGCAGGAACACCAGGTACTCCGCCCGGTGTCTGATTTAAATCAAACCTATTGGCAAATTCACGCACAGTTGAAGAGTTCCAGGCATAAAAAGCTACTAAGCCATTAAAACCGTCTATTTCCTCAATCAGGCCAATGTAAATAAAAAAACAATGCAATCGCAATTTTTAAAATGAAAAGATGGCAGTATGGAAGAGCAAAAAAGTAATCATGTTTTGAGAGCACTTGCATGCAAATATAGGAAACGTAAGTGCGTTGCGTGCAGTGCGCTCTGGACGCCCCGCCATCCATAGACTTCACTCAAATCAGGTTCTTCTGGGACGTTGTCTGTGTTTACATAAAATTTAATGGAGATCAATAGTTACGCTTTGGATATAGAGGCTGCGCATTGTTACTTTGTCGTGTCCATTTATTACTGACTTTAGAAATCCCGACTCGACGAATGTGCCAATCGTTTGTACAAAGCGAATCAGCTCATCTACCAAAACAGGAAGCAACCAATCATTTCTCCATCTTTCTTTCTTTTTTATAATGAACAATTCTACAAGTATGACTACTTTGAATGGTGGAATTTCTATATACATAATGCAAGATTATTTTGTTCATATGCAACTATGTACAATTACGTATCGGGGGGGGGTCTGATTGACTTATCTGGCAGGTCGAACTTTCTGACCGGTGACACACGGAAAAGTTATCAAATGAGGGCGCCTTTAAGGACTTATGCGAGCGGCCGGCCGAGTAAGACGACCGTGTACTGTGCGTTATTATGAAGGGATGGCTGACTGGGAAGGGCGACGTAAGTCCGACGTAACACAAGTCTACGCCATCAATTGTTTATTTGCCATTGTCGCCCAATCATAGACTGGCGGTCTATCCGTTCATATTTCTGTAGTGCTGAGGCTATCGTGAATATCGTGGAGTCTGCTTCCCAGTCCAAAATATTGCAACTATAGACCTTTCCATTGTTTACAAACATGGACAATCATTTCGTGGGGGCGGCCAAAGATGCCAAAAAACTCATCTTTGGTTAAAATAGGGTTTTTGCTTAAAAAATGTGCATTCTGTAAATGTCAAACAGGGAGGTATTTGTATTCGGTGCTTAGTACTAGCAGTTATTTTATATGTTGATTGATGCTATTAAAAGGCTTTGTGCATACCTGTTGTCTTTTACATATACGGCCAAACACTGGCTGGCAAAATATTATGTTGTGATCAACCAGGTGGAAGGTAAAATGGGAAAATCTCTAGGTCAGGGTATCGCCACATTATGTGACCAAAACGCGTTTCAGGAATTATCCCAAATCATCGTAAGTCGTTTTGTTAATCTGGGGCTATTTTAATTAAATAAATGTCTTCAATGTATTTGTCGAGCTTTTTTCCATGTCATTTTTCCAGTTTTGGTAAAATTATATTTGTCGTCACTGTTTCAAACATGTGATATTGACGCTTCTTTTTTTGTAAGTAACTCTCGAATCGTAAGAGAATACATCCAGACTAACGAAAATAGCATTTGCCTATCCCAAAGAGAGCTTGCCAAATTTTGTTTTGAGCAGGATGTAAATTTACTGCCAGTACCATAATGACGACCAAATCCTCCCGATAATGTTGTCTGTACTTCATATTATTAAGTGCTTTTTCTGTATTTATTCCACCAGCCATATTTCTCTTTGACCCTTTTTTGTTTTGCAATTATTGGTGTGCCCAAAGATGCTAAACAAAGCCCTGCACAACGTCGTCAACGCCCTCCAGAGACTCGGGTCAGCACTTGCCAACTCTGTTAAGGCGCTGGGAAGGGCTGATGGCTTTGCACTATGATTGCCTACACCGTCCACGACTTGTGAGCGTGAGGTTATCACTTCCTGAAAGCAAAGCATTATTAAATTTTTGGCTTCGCCAATAGCAATGCTTTGGCACAGGCAAAGTGTCGGCTACATGATAAAATCACGGCCTTGGTACAATTACTGCGTTGTAATTTATCTTTTCACTTAGTATCACTAATCACGTGTCTTTGTGGCGATATATTTCAATTATTGGTTATCTTCATTACTATTGAATAAAGTGTAGCGAAAACATATTCAGCTACGAGAAAGACAAAAATATCGAATTGATAGCCGCTTATGTGATGCCGACCTGTTAGAAATTTAGCCACAATGCTCTGCGCATCGTTAGCTGTGACCCGTGCGACGTATCTCCTTCACTAAAAAGCGAGGCCCTTTCCAGCGCCCTGTTCGGGCGCTGGGCGTGCGATGAACGAGTTGTCAAATCAAGTCATTGACAGGAAACCTGAGATAATTTTAGTTACAATCAAGAGAAAGAAACAGTTGAAGGGAATTTTTTTTCAGACTTGTGTTTTCTGACAAGCATTCTTGAAATTGCTCTGTTTAGTTAATAAAAACACCGATGCCCTCTTCTTCATGGCACTTTACTTTACACGTCCGAGGTCCGAGGCCGCTGTCGGCGACTGTTTTCTTTCCATGTCATTGAAAAAGTTTCAAACTAGCCAGATTGATGGGGAGATTATATGAACAAAACAAGGCCAAAATCTAATGTTCGTTCTATCTGGCGGAATCTTCATTGTTCACTCCAATTCTCCCTCCAGAATGCTCACGGTATGTCAGCTAAAGGCTTGGACAAAGTACACGATTGAATAGGTGGTACAGAATTAAAACGGCACTGCACTTGCCGACATTATCCTTTCAACGCCAGCAGATATCTTTTCATCCACAAAGCACTTTTGTAGCGTGCTGTCGCTAACACAGAGCCCTCCATTCCCACACCACAATTCCTTGCGGATAAAACAAACAAAATTGTTTAGGACAAAAGTGTGCGCAGAATAATCATTAGCAGTACTGGTAGAAACACTGCATATAACATTATTAAACCGGGTCTTGCATCTTATACATCGTGCTTACCAAACAGTCTGTTAACCTCGATCTCACTCGGTCTATCAATTTTATTCGCTCACAGAATACACCAATATAATCTTATTGACATCTCAGAATCAACCCAACACTCGAGTAACATTCAATAACACTTTTGCTCAATTTTGAGAGCATACTGTAATTTATTTTGTATTTTTAGTCAAATCGGGCAATTAAATCAGAAAATTTAATTAATGTCGAGAACTAGGCTCAACAAACAAACCTCTTTTGATAAACCTTTTGGTAAAAGTGACTCCGGCCAGCTCATTACAGTAGATTAACCCTAAGATGTAAGCGTACCAATACACATATGTACATAGCTTCTTACCACATCCGTGTCAATTGCTTCCTTTGAGCCATTTAAATCTCAATCTGAATCAAAATTTGTTTTTACCTGCTTATTTTTTCTTTTCTTTTTGTCTTTTTCTGTTGAGGCAGATACAACTTGATCTTGCAAAATCTGATTTTCGTTACAAAATGTCAGTTGCATTCATGATTTTGCTTAAAATATGTGTACTGGTGAACTTTGTTGAGTATTAAACAACAACTAGTGAGCGTATTTCCTGCCTATCCTTTGCTTCATGCAATCGATGATTTTATTATCTTCTAGCCTATATAATACAAAATGTCTGGTCCGGAATGCAAGACAGTAATAAAAATATTCGTTACTTAAAAGTTGGGTGGAAGTTTCTTTAATCCAGTATTTCTAGTCCACAGGTTTTATGTGGCTAGCTAAAAGCGTACGTCACCCCAGAAGCAAGCTGGATGTCACACGCGGCCAAAGCATCACATTGGCACAGTGCCATGGAATGAAGTGCAACAGTGTCAAGGAGCGACCAGTGGCGTAGCTGGATTGAGACTTAAAACTGGAACCTAGGGTTGCACATATATCTTTTTATGTCAAGGAAAACAAATAAATTATCTATGGCTCCCTGAATGGCAAATCTCCAGAGAGGAATCACTATCCCGGTTGAAATTCCAGGTACCATCACCTCCTTTGTTCTTTGTACCGGGTGAAATAAGGATTCAGGGCCTTCGCTGCCTTTTATCGTGGCTGACACTTCTGGCACGCTAAGGAAGCCGCTGATTTTTTTTTCATTTATTTGCCTTATCCCATTGCTTATAACGAATGATGGGATAAGGAAAGGTCTTTTCTTTTGCCTTTTCTTTCAACCCCTCAGGAAAGCATGCAAAAGGATACATGAAAAAGAAATCCGAATTTCTTGGTCCCCTGAAACCAAGTTTTCCCGCAACGAATAGTTCGGTTGTGAATCCAACCTTATAAAACGCATCATAATAATCAGGTTATATGGAGCAGTACGTATACCGAATAAATACGGACGGCAGTTACAATATCCCTAGATTGTTATCCAGTAACAAACACGTTACCTTCACCAATTAATAATTTCATGGTCACTGTGAAACAACAAATTAAGTGTTTCAAAGATGAAGTAATTCCTTAATACTTTGTTCTGTCTGACAGTTGTATAATGTGATTTGCACGAGGTATTATAAGCTTTGGAATCACGTTGATTTATTTACGCATTAACCGGTGGTTTTTGAAGAAGGAATAGAACGTGAAAATGTAGTTCTTCTCAAACTAATGGATATTGTGTGATTAAAACGTGAAAATTCGGTTTTAAAACCAAAAAACCTAAAATTCACTAAAGTGTCTTTATATAATTTTGGTTCTATTCTGGTGTGCTGTTTACTGGTTGCTGTGGTATACGACTCAAAATCCCGAGATCGACGGTTGAAAACCTACTACTCCAGATGTCCTTTGGCGCTCTATCGTCCGATCAGAAGGTGTCGTCTTCTCGTCCCGGTATAGCACGCTAAGTTGAGGACATTTAAGAATGCCACTCGGTACAAGGGATTGGCGGCCGCGTAGCAGAATGGGTTTACGGCGCTGCTCGTGTGGACCAGAAAAACCAGCATCTGTGAGATAAGATTAAAGGAACTGAGTCAGTCGAGGCTTCGTTGCTTCCAAGTACAAGTCTGAGAATCAACGCCGACCACCCCTGAGAATCAACCACTCCTCAAAAGTCGGCGCTGCTTTCAATTGTTTGCAGTAACTGAATGGAAGAAGACTTCCGCCATCACAGATTTTTTGTAGAACTCAAGAGGGCGCTGTTTAGCCTAAACGTTGGGGCCATCACCGGGCATAAGAGCTACTTACATGGGCTGATCCAGGACGTTTAGTTTGGGCGGTGTTTGGGAAATGTTTGCTCGTAAAAAGGCAGTATTACACGTAACTGTCGACTGTGGTTCCATGTAATATATGTTTTGCCCTCAACCGTACACGCAAAATAAGACCCCCACATGCTTTATGCTTTCTAAGAGGTCCAAGTTCCAACCTCTACGGCATAGGCCCCCTTATAGAAGAACATTAAAAATCTGGTTGCATCCATCCCCCCTTTGATCCACACCTGACCCACTGAGCTAATACCAAAGAAACCTTGATTTTTTGACATACCACTGGGAGGTCAGATGCTGTATTGAGACTCACGGTCAGAAGCAACTACAGGTTAGCCAAAGACACATTGACGAGGAGAATTCACGGAGCAGACAATTACTTCCGGTCAGGTAGATCAAGGGCGAAGAGAACGAACCCAAGTTACAGTTCTGTAGTTTGTGTGTAATATATTTTTTCCAGTGACATTTAATACTTTAAAATTACTGTCACTTACTCCAGGCAAAAGTACCCCTTGTGTGTAGCTGCCTTATTAAATAGTTTTCACCTTCAAAGGGGAATTTTCAGACACGTGGACCCTCGCAAATACAACATCGGGTGATTTGAGCACTAGCTTTGATTGAAATAATGATCAGAAGCCAGGCTGAAAGGGTCAGGTAATTGATTGATTTCTGTCTTAAATTTACCTGTTGCAGGAAGAGCGGTATACAGTATCTGCAGGTGACAATGACGACGGCTGTAATGGCCCAAGGGAGACCAGAAATCATCATCGAGATGAAAATGAGTGACAGGGTCCTGAGAGCGAGGTTGCTCTCCTCATGCCGAGTGTATGCTGTCGAATGCCTCAAGCCTGTCCGAAAGCATATCAAATGTCAAACACCGAAACATATCAAAAGCTGATATTATTTTTGTTAAACTGACCACGTTGTCTGGTACGTATAAGAACAAAGAATTTTTTTTCTCATCGAGTTTGTTTTTTTTCCGCCAACACGCTTCCTAATGATTTTGTACTTGATTACTAAATCTGATTTGTACGCTTAAGTAAATGACAAAAAGATTTCACTTTTTCCGGAAAAGAATATTTATGACTTTCTTCAGCAGAAAATTAATGTGTTTATGCTTGAGAATAATACTGTGAGAAATTCTTTTCAAAGGAAAAAATACGGAAATCTACTCACTGGAGCTAATACAGAAACGCTGGTTGTTTTGCTGTTGGTTGACCAAGCGTAAGGTGCCGAGGCCCCTTTGGTTGGCTTGGTTGGCCAAGAAGTTGTACTCACTGGTATCAGAGGATGGCTTATGCCGAAGCTCGGGGAGCCCATATTTGGTTTCTTTAGATGAGTGCGAATCTGAGGCAATGGCGATGCCACACAAGGCCCCACACTGCAGCTGCATAAGCAGTCCACGCCCTTGGCTTGTCCTGGTCATGTCGATGTTTTGCTTTGTAGGGGGCACCATGCTAGCATTTAAGTCTGACTCGGGTGAGGTGTCGTCACGGTCGACCTCCTGTCGGCGAGCCGCCTCGTGCATAGCCCGCAGCCGCTCCCGCCGGCGGGCGATCTTTCCACGCACGCGGTGGTACACTTTGAAATACACGACTGTCACCGCGAAGATGGGGATCCAGTTCAGGACCAGAATCGCCCCTGCAGTGTAGAACATGTTGCTGAGGTACAGGGGGTAGCAGCGGTAATCCTTGACGAAAAACGGACCGTCGTACACAAACTCCCAGGACAAGAGAAAAGGCAACCATATTGCCAAAGGGATGACGTAGGTCAGAGAAATTACAAGCATCGCGTAGCGCTTGGTGCGGTGCTCAATGTGAACGATCGGGTAAGTGACAGACATGAGCCGGTCGATGGCAATGGCCAGGACGGAGAGGAATGTTGTGTTCAGGATGCAATGACTGATTACCAGATGGCAGGAGCACACAGTGTGCCCAAGAGGCCAGTAGCCAAGTAACCAGTAGAGGCCGTACATTGGCATAGTTGTCAGACCAACAATAAGGTCAGCAACGGCCAGGCTGACTATGTAGAAGTTGTTGTAGGTCCGAAGTCGGCTGAAGCGTGCAAAGGCGTAGATGACGGAGGAGTTACCCAGGACCGTGACAAGCGTCACGGCAGTCACAATGGCCCCGATACTGACCTGCACGGGCACAGACCAACCTTCCTCTTCGATAAGCTTCCGTAGACTTGAGTCGGTTGTATTATTGAGGAAAGTCATCATAGTTGCAGACGTTAGATTTTCTATGGCAGCTGGCATTTTCGAAGCACGGGGACCTTCCACTTTGACGCAAATAGGTTAAACGTTTTTACGATTAAATATAATATAAATATAAATTAAGAAGTCAATTAATTGTCTGATTCTTTTTTCGACGAAAAGCAAGAGTGAATGTCTATCAAAATTTCCTTCAGGTGCGTCTGCGATATGATCAGGCAGCTGTTTTAATGAGCAAGTGTCGCTGATCTGATTTCGTTCATTTTTTTCAGAATTTATAGACAACTACGCTACTCACGAGAACTGTTACAGTTTAAGAAATACTTAAATTCACCTGTCATTCCCGTGACGTGTTATCCTTTCGCCGTAGGGTAAGCACTAGGTGAAATAAGGCATCGCTCCAAAATCAGAGTAGTCGATACTCGATAGATGACCACAGTCGCAAGAGCCTATAGAGCACAGATATTACTGATCCTCCCTCGAACAAGCGGCCGCCTTTTATTCAAATTCGACTATCGCAAAACAACGACCTGCTCTGATTGTGACGTCGTTGGTAAAACCTCCTCCTCATGTCAGCAAAAGCAGGGGTAAACATGAACCTGCTGCGTTTCTTCTCACAACTTCAGTACATTGCAACCTCGCCATGCATTCTGGCCGTGGCTTTGCTAGCTGATGTAGCACCTCGTAAATTATGGACTATGCTACGCACGTTGCAGCGGAAATACTGTATACTCTTACAAGTTAGCTGGGAGTGCATAGCTCCAAGGACTGTGGGGCTGCTGACGTCAGCCAAGCTCGTTAAATAACACGTACTGGCAGCAGACTAGGGATGCGACGGCATATTCGCACTCTGAAGTTTCGTTTGCACACTCGATTCAGTCGGTAATTGTCGAAGGCGGCTGTTTCCAATTTTACAGAATTCGTTTCAGCGTTTCTTTTGCAACTGATAAGATCTGACAGAAGAGGGAGAGAGTGATGTGTTCTTACTTCGATTTACAAGTTACAGTGGAAATCGTAATGCGTGAAATGAAGTTAGGTGTGCATTCCCTTAAACGAGTTATGCCAAAAGTGCCAGTCTCATTTCTAGCAGAGCATGCGTTATTCATCAAATAACATCATTAGTTTTCTAAAACAAGGTTTCTGGATTCGCTATGCGTTTTGCAAATGTAATATCATCACATTAGTGATGTCAAGCCTAATTTTGCAATTAAATTCTTTCTAAGTCAAACGGGAAACGCAGCTTATCTGCTTAGAACTTCGTCGTCATTTTTAATTTCTGTCTGGCTAACAGCCGTAAACGGGGCTATTTCTCTCATCTCTGTCTAGGCTTAGGAGAGTGATCAGAGCTGTTAACATGGACGTTCTTCGGTGGGCAAAGTGAAGCTTGATCAAATGGACTCGCTGAGTGATCCATGGATATACAACCCCCAAGATGTGTTTGCACTCTGGTGGTGTCTCCATCTGCTGTTTTTACAAAGTTGGCTGAACTGGTCTATTGCACGTACAGTACATGGCTTTTATCTCTCAATACGGTCGCTTGATGGAATCTCGGCCTGCCAATCAACTGATGTTTACCCTCCGTGTCGACCGACCCAACATAGTTAAATTCAATCCCTGACTCTAGATGAACGCCTCTCACGATAGCCTGCGTCTTGGGTTGTTTACTCAGCCCACCCAACCGGGATATCGGCACAAAATCAGCTCAACTTGTGCGTCCTTCCTTTCTAAGAAATTGTGTCCGTTGTAAAGGAGAGACGTCAAAACGTCTGTTTGCTGCAGTCAGATGAGTTTATTCCCGGCTTTAGAGTTACATTTACAACCAAACTAACGAAAACACACACACCCACACGTTTCATTCTGTATTAAATTTTGATAGCAGATAAGTCGCTCAGTAACCCATTTTTTGGGGGGGTGCGATTAAATTATCTGAAGAATGACAACCACGCAGCTGATCTTTTTGGAATGAACAATAAAGTGGAATCAACATAACTTGGGGAAGAAATACCAAATTTAAATTACTTGAGAACTGACTTTTAGCAGTACCATTTATTATTTCAACGACGGTTATGTCACTCTACTGAAATGATAAACGACACACGATTTAAAATGTTGCAAAATCGTTAAATTGTTCCTCAGAATCAGAGCCATAATCAGTTTATGCCATTATTTTTCCACTTGGTGACTTAAGTGGAGTCACTTACGCGTTGATGTAGTGCAAGCAAAGTGCATCCGATTTATTCCATCGTCAGCGAATCGCGTTTTCAACACAGGCGTAGAAGTGTCTTCAATATTCTTTGGGAAAGTGACTTGATGTTCCAGTGGCAGCTATCAATTCTTGCCTGTTTCCAGACGCTAACGTCCGGCTTCCGTTTCATGGAGGCTAGCCAGGGTGGTCGAAGCTTCATACACCATGCAACTTAATCGATCTTTATTAGGCATATCTGGTTTCAATTGCCTTGATATAAATATGTCGCAATTGGAGACATATTTCGAGTTTTTGATTTATCGTCTTATTGATCTTTTGCAACAAGACACTCTTTTCTTGAAAGGATGAAATGCAGCCCATCTTATGCAGCGAAATAAAAAGGTACTTATTCGAATCGATAACGCCGTTACGAGTGCAAAGCTTTTGGGCTGTAGTAAATCCAATTGGCAGCTCCCAAGGTTGCAGCCCTGGCTTTTGTTTACCCTGTCCTACCCAAGAACGTGAAATTCTGCTCAGTCTTATCATAAAATATACGAAAATAAATAAAGATCACTTGCTTGCACTTGCAGAAAGTGTCTAAGGTTACCTAAGCATAAACGCAAAATCGGATAGCTCGAGGAATTCCTTTCTGTTTTCATTGTTTCCAACTTCAAACGTTCTTTTATTCTGTTGTGAAATATCAACCAAGTCAGTTGCCTTGTGTAATGAGTGTTTTTGCTATTGCCGTTATTGCTATTTGACATCGAGATTGCTTCGGGGGTTTTATGTGGAGCGCTGTTACCGGTATGCATTTTACAGTCGGTCATTCGGATACGCAATCTTGTCTTTGCGACTTTTGGCTTCTAGCTGGTTTCTATTGTTTCAATCAGGTAAAATGGTAGCCAAGGCTTTAACAGGGACATGTTTGGGGTTATAGTCAGTGAACTGTATACCCACATTTCATTCTATACCGAATTATCCATTTGCGTTTGCTTTTGACGAGAATACCTGCTGTGTGCAACACTTTTGGTCGTGTTTGTGAATTGTACAACCTTAATAAAACGTGAGCGACAATCCCAAGATGGTCTTTTGTATAGCGGAGCACACAGAGGAACGGTACGGATGTGATAAAGTTACAATTAAATATGCCAACTTGTTTTGCGATATAAGGCTATACATAATGAAGTCAATTAAGTCAGAAATGGAAGAACAGAAAGTTTAATTAAGTACAGAACTGAGATCGATGCCATGCAAATGCAGGCAGGCTGAGGTCCCCTGTTGTTGTGGTGGTTGTTTCAGTTGTTGATCGCTTGTTGTTTGGTTGTTACTGCTGATGCTGATGTTCTGGCATCTGATTCTTACCGACTGACTTATGCTAATCTATATCTCTTCATGTCATATTGTCAGTAGTTTATCACCAGTACCATTGGACGTTCCATTACTCTGTGTCCAGCAGTTCCGACACAGAGAATGAAAATGTTATTTCTTTCCCTTCCCGGTTTAATCTTTGAACGGGGAGATAGTTTTGTACCAGCCTATCCAGGGATAAATGGCATAGTTGAGAACATACGTTTACGCATAATATCACCAGTACTGCTTGTGTTTCACCTTGTTTGTTTGTTATATACAGCCGTAGCGACTTCCACTGCTACAACCTTTGCATCACGTTCTTCCCCTCGTATTACATTATGCCTATTGACCGATCCTGTGTGTGATCTTGCACTTTGGCATACACGGTAGTGAACCCGAAATCCACTTCCAATGAAATTGGTAACCTACTGAAATTACCAATGTACAATTCTACTGACCAATTTAGCCTCTCTTGAGGACAGGAAATTGGAGGAACTTGAGAAGAGGTGACATCAAATTTTTTTAGCCTTGTTTTTTCGAGTTTACCCGCGACACTTGCGCTCACGTTTTCTGTGGTAATTAATCATTTAGGTAGAAGATCACGAGATATTGCCGCGGCGTGCCTTCCGCCCTTGTTTGCGTTTCTGGACGTTTAAAGTGAGAAGGGTGCAGTCTCAATCGAGCGAAAAATTCCAATTGGCCTTTTTGTATCAATATTGTGCCGATGCAAAGTTCAATTCCAAATCCACAAACACTTGTGAAAGACAGAGCGTGAAACGAATATCAAACAACAAATATCCGTTGCTATTTACTAACTTCGAGCGGCCAGAGGATGGGCAGCTTTCTGAAAGCACTTGACTTGGCACACAGATTAGAGGAGCTTCGCTGAGAAAGGTATTATTCATTAAAGTTAATTTAAGGTGTAATTTGCACAAAATAGTTCAATGTGAAACCCTTGGAACTGCCACATTCTAAGTCTAACTCAAATGGTGAATAAATCCTAATGCTGGTGATAAAAGCAAGAAACCCCTTTAAAAATACTATGGAGTGCCTTTATAGATTGGGAGAAAGAACTGTTCGATAAAGAGGTGTAATTGATTGGACTGGGCACAATAAAATTGGAGTGAGTTGCTTACCACCCTCAGGCTCGGAAACGTACTACAGCATTGTTAGGGTAGAGTGAGAAAGTTAATTTATTTGTACATTATTCTCCTCTGGGTGTTCTTTTCTTCCATGAGACAACGATTCGGGGCGCCATTTTTGTTTAAACGTCATATAACGCATGAAATTGAGAGTTAGTATGGGCATCAACACTAACCAAACGTATGCCAACCGTGACGTCACATTGGTGTCTTCAGGTGTAAGATTACAAACGTTCCACATTTGATATGCTGATCCCTAATAAATCCGTACAAATCAATCGTGGAATGCTCATCTTGCTGTTAACTGAAGGTGATATAATAATTTTAGTCCTT